TCTGTTCGGGTTTGTATGACATTCCATGTCCAGCCTCTCTTTATACTGAAGCCATGCCTGTCTTGAGCCAAAAGAAGCCAACATGTTAGGGGCAGGTTAAGCTCATTACCTGACACTAACACTTAACACGCTAATCTGAAAAACATATTTGATCCAAGCAGCATATACACATACCATGGGCAGCATATTTTCAATTAACGGTAAGAAGTTTTAAATTATATAAACACATTAGTACATTTTGATTATCCTGTTATTCAAACTCTTAAATACAGCAACATGTCAGGCCTTATGCTGAAGTCTATTATAGACTTAGTCTGAAATTTAAAAGTGTCTCATGCCAAGGAAAAGGTTCTACAACTCATTTAATGATTCACAGTACTCCTGAAATTATATTCATCTGTCTGCTTTCCATGGCAGCACTTTCAATCATAAACACTTAATTGTAGGAATTTATCCTCAAGGCCAAATAGCTCTGGGTGAATTAAGCCATCTTTAATATAAGAACTAGAATGGTGATTTAAAATTAATCTTTTTCTGATGGGAGACCATTTATTCAGAAACACACTTTGCACTCAAAACTCTCTCCTTTGGAGATAGCCACTGCATCACCTGTTTTGATTTTCCTTATTTGTTTCAGAACTGACTCCTTGCCAGTAAAGGAACTTTAATTACTTATGGATTGGCAGAGCACAGGAGAGCTGCCTGCATGCCGTCTGTCAGGAAAACTTTTTTCACAGACATTACTTGCTCTCTTTTACTTTGAGAAGTAGGACTCGCAACTGGCAAGAAAACATCTCAAGCCTCCTCAAGCATAAAAGACTTGTTTTTTCTGGCAGCATCTAGGACGAGAATGCAAGATTTCACAGTGCTTTCAGCTGTGCTATCTCTAGGATTTTTCTAAAACAAAGACAAGAGTGTACATTTCTAAAAAAATCCAGAACTTCAAAAAGCGTGGTTGTGAACATGTGTATGTATAGGTGTATATGTATACATACATACACCTATACACTCTTTCTCACGCATATACACACTTTCCTGGCAAAAAAAGCCCCAAGATAAATATTAGTCACAGCATCTTATACTATAATCTGAATATTGAAATCCATAGCAAATATCCTCCTAGTAGTTGTTTAAAATGACTGCTATCAAAACAATTCTTGCCAGCAGTCTTTTTTTTCTGTGGTATTCAGAAGGAGGAAGCATCATAGGGAAGAAAACACCATCAAAACATGTATATTCCCAAAAGATCCTCAGGTAACTTTCAGCAATATTTTAACTAGTTCTAGTCAGACTGAAGTTGGGTAACTCACGAAATAACAAAGTGACAGACCAGAACTCAGCTGTTTATAAAGCCTAACATAGTATAAGGTGAAAACTGCTGTGTCAATTATCTTTTTTTTTTTTAATCCTTAGTGCCCTGTACTGCCACGTGCCACTTTTCCTTAACAAGTCCAGCCAAATTTTATGTTATTTTGGCTTTACTTTAAATTGTAAATAGTAAATTAGAAAAACTATAAAAGCACTACATTTAATTTTTTTTAATTAAAGATCCTAAGTGTGTCGAGACAACCTCTTACTCAATGCAGTTGAGGCCTTTAGATGCTACCATAAATTTGAAACAGTATAAACAACATGATGAGAAGAGAGGATTTAAATGCCACATTTTTAGGGTCAGAGTTTCATGTTTGCCAGGGATTATCAGTCTACCTATCCACTAACTAAAGAAAATTATCATTCTTTTTCTCAACTTTCTCTGAAAGAAAATAATCTGGATGTTGTTTCAGAGTACTGCTCTTAGTGCTATTTCTTGATGGTTTGCTTTTAAATTACAAGTGCTGTTTTCTTTTAGAACAGCACTGATTCATATAAATTATTGACTGAATTTTTGATTATTCTCCTTTATCAAATGTATATTCTCAAGAAAGATAAAGCAATCACATCTGAATAGACAAAAAATGGCTGGAAATAAGGTGGCAGCTGGTTGAAATTGTTCTGTATACATCATTATTTATTTCATCAAAACATTCTGTTCCTCGGGCAGCTGGAAAAAGCAGACTGATCGCATTTACGAAAATACTTGTTTTCTCTCTGCTGTATTTATTATGTTTTAGGATCTCTTTGTGAAGTAAGCAAACCTTCCTCCTGACTGCTGAGTGAGAAATTATCTAAGAGCTCATGTTGCAGACCTTGTTCATGGTGTGGAGCTACTATTAACTTGTTCTAATTTGCTTGAGATAAAGGCTCAATATTCATATTTCTCTGCTCGAGAACCAGACAGGCTGCCTGACCACTGTAATCACAGGATAGGGAGGAACCATGGCAGTTATACACTGCTATTTAGATCACTTTAGGTAAACAGTTGTCAAAATATGGTCAATAAATGGACATATGTGACAAGCAATAGCTGGCCTTCTAATTAAAGCGGATTTTATCTGACCAAATGGTATGTCATGGATAATGGATATTCTGTGCTGCATCTTCAGGAAGTAAGGATGCAAAGAGCAAGGAAAGGCCCCTTGTATTCTTCTAGGTAGCCAGATAAATCTAGCTAAACAGATGAGTAAACCTTTTCAGCAAATCAAAGAAAATTTAGCAAAGTCAGCTGGGCTAAAAACCCCCTCCTCCACTCACGTCATATTATATAAATAAATCAGCGTGCTAGCTCTCCAGTAAATTTGGCATACTTTTCAGGAACAAAGTGAAAATAATTTGTAGCAACAGGCACTTCACACTATTGTAAAAACGTTGTTGCCTCCTTCCTTGGTCATGAAAGGGATTTTTGCCTGAAGGGAAAATAAAAAATAAATCCGCTTACTGCTCCCCTTCTCTTTTTGAGCACATACATTTGAAAACAAGTCAGAAACATAACATATTCTGCTTGTGATTTTCTGGAACTCTTAATGTTCATGTTTTCACTACCCATATAAATCTCGATTAAAAATATTTACTATATGGATGATACACTGCCCAAACCAAAATTTTCATGCACAGTAAAAAGTATCTGGAAAATAAATCAGAGATTCCTTGAATTTGTACCTTTCATCTCCAGTCAGATGATACGGCTCTAAAACTCACTCAGAAGCATTCATAACTGTATTAGATACAGGCAATATTTGTCCTAGAACTGCTACCCCAAAACACACAGACTAAAAATAAATAAAGCACTTGGTTTGAATTGTACTTACAAATTTTAAATCCCCATTTGTACAAACTAGTTTTCTCTTCATATTAGTGACTCTGTTTAGAAGAATAACTATTTGTTACATGGCAGATTAGAAAACTTACTGTTTACATGATGGAAAACTAAATTTTCAGAGTCTGCTGCTTCTTTTCTTTCTCCATTTCACATCCTCCTCCTACTCCATTCTGATTTTTTTTTATATAGTGAAACACTTCAGGCAGACCAAGCATGTATTAAACATCCTAATGCCAAAGTAGCTAAAAAAGTAGCATTGTTTCATGTACCACATGTGGCCCGTAATCCCAGAAGTAATTTAATTTAATTACCTTTTCTTACCCTTAAATTTATTTTTTTTTTCTCCCCCATGACTGTGTGAAAGACTCACACAGAGGAGAAAACCAGCTAACTAAGATTGTTAAAAGAAACAGTGAAATACTAACTTATTCCACCGAGCCTATAGTACTGGTAGAAGTCTCATACCAGAGAATAAATGTAACTGAACCGAAGTACTCTTACGAGGTGCCAGAAGTGTCATTTAAAGATCGATTTGCAGTTTTAAAGTTTGAATTTCATTACTCTTGTAAATTTATCAGATCTTTACTACTATTTTTAAAAGACATTAACTTGTAATGAAAAAAAAAAATTAACAGCACTCTTGTTTAGGAAAGATCCTGCTGATATACTGCCTATTTAATTTTTATGCTACCTTTTTTATAACAATATCTGAAGTTTTAAGTAACAAATATTTATTACATTTTTCTGTTCTTGTTTCTCATTCACCACATAAATCATGGTCTTCCTCTCTCTGCCTTTAGAGCAGCCAGCTGTGGTTTTAGAAACAAATTATGATGACTTCAAGTGATGAATAAACAGCAGAAGCAAAGGAAGTCTTGAGATACTATCCACATAAAAATGCCATTAATAAATAACAGGGAAAGACAACTACAGCAAGGCTGTGAAAAAGCAGCTTTGAACCTAGACAAGATGCATGTCATTTCTCTAAGATGAATTAGTGAACTTTAAAGGAATAGACCTAATCTGAACACTATCATATCAAAATAACGTATTTTTGAGCAAAAGCTCTGTCTGCATATACATATACAGAAATATTTTAGTAATAAAATTAGATCTGTATTCCTTCTTTTGTTGTTGTTGTTCTTACGAACACAGTGAAGCCAGAGCAATTCTGAAAAAGGAAATTAGATTTTATGCAAGATCTCACATCATCGGTAGCAGAGCTGTCAACTAAATTTCAAAGGACACAGACATATTCTCTCCCCTTTTCACATCTATCCAATGAAAAGTTAGTGGGGATTGCACAAGAACTTCTGGAGGCTGGATCTGAGGCTATCTAAACTGCATGGACGAAAACAGGAACAAGAATGACCTTCAAGACCTAAATTGTTTTAAACCATTTCTGAGAATGCTTAAGTAAGAAAGCCCATGTTTGTTCCTCAGACCTTATTTTAAATCTGCGGTGCTGTCAGTGATTAAAACCACCTTTTTTCATAAACTGAATAAATTAAACTCAAAAGCACCCAGGCATTAGAAACAGATGAAACCATACTGACCAATTCAGTTAACAAAGTATTTTTTTCCTCCGATTAATCTGCTTAATCACTAAATACAAAACTTATTTTTTTGTGAGAACTATTTAATACTCTTCACTCATCCCCTGATGTTTAAAAATTGTTAAGTAATATCTATTACAAAAGCATTCAGGAACTGTCCTCCACGGTCCCCTTTCCCCCCCCCCCCCCCCC